TCCTTCTCTAATCAATCCCTTTCATATTCAGACGAATTAGAGGGGTTTGTTATTTGCAGCTGCAACACCTGGTAGAGTTCCTTATCGAGTGGTGTTTGGGATGTGTGGCATGGTGGGGGCGGGCAGTGGCGGGGGTACTTTGCCCACAAGCTACCGCAGTTCCGCACACAGTGGAGTTAACACTGCAGTGGTTTCTGCATCAGGACAGAACGGTGTGTGGAAGGGCCAGCACACCGGGTCGGATACGGAAGACCACAGCCATCATCTGCCTCACTGCTGACTTGCTGCATTGGCTTCATGCAAGTGTCTTCTCCTGTTTGGACCTCAGTTTCCTTATTTGTGAAATGAGGGAATTACACCCGATAAACTCCAAGGTCCCTTCCAATCTCAACAGACTTTGATAAGCAGCTTTGGTGTGTTTAATATTAGAGGGTCACTTCGGTTATCCAGATCTGTACTTTCTACTATGGTAGCTACTCCACATTATTTATTATGAATAAGATATAAATTGATTAAAAGTCAACAGAATTACAAAGTTTAGTTCCTTAGTTGCATGAGCCACATTTTAAAAGGGCTCTGTAGCCACTTGTAGCTACAGGCTATCATAGTGGACAGTGCAGAGCAGAGATAGAACATTTCCATCATCACAGAACATTTTCTTGCCTAACACTGGTCTAGATGATGATGCCATTTGTCTACTTCCCTTGTAGAAACGCTGGGTGTTCTGTTGTATTTCTGCCCGCCTACTTGAATGATCAACATCCACATTATTAGCATTCAGCTTGCCTCAAATGGGACTCCTTATTTACCTCCCCCCACCATGATGCAACCCTACTCTTCCCCGCGCCTCCCCCCCCCCCCCACCACTGCCCCATCTTAGAGGGTGCTGCTCTACCCACACCAACCCAGGGTAAAAGCCTTGGGGTCATTCTGGAAATGTCCTTCTTCCTCACGCCCTACATCCATTTCCATTCCTAAATTCCGTTAGTTCCTCCTATAAATATTAACTGCACATGTCCTCTTTCTCTCATTCCTACTCTGTATGCCATAACTGAGGCCCCCCTCATCTTTCACTTGCCTTCTATTGTGAACCTCACCTTTATTTTCTTCCTCCTTCCAGTCCATCCCCTCAGGCCACCCCCGAGGGTACTGAATCAAAATAGCCCAGAAACAAAAGGCAGTTTTAATCAGCCCTGTCCTCCCTCAATCATCTGTTCAAGGGCTTTTCTAGACCAACAGCCCCATGTGCAGGTTCCTTAAACTTCCTTCTGTTCCCTGAGCAAGACTCACTCGTTCATTTTCTTCTTTTTGTGCATGCTGTTTCCGGTTCCTTCTTTCTACGTAGGCCCTCTTAGCACCTGGTTCAGAGGACACCTCTTTTGCAAAGCTCTGCTGACTCCCCTGAAAGAGCTAGATGCTCCCTCCTCCCCCCAACCAACACGCTCGGTCTTGTCGACCACAGTCAGTGGCTTGGGGCTCAGGCTTGGGCCATCTGGCTTTGAGAGCTGGTTGCATCACTGTTCACTCTAAGACCAACCAGGCAGCTCTGTACTTGACTTTTCTCACCTGTAAGTGGGTAGTAGAAGTAATACCTACTTCCTGGGCTTTTTCGGAGGATTAAATGACATAATATACATCAAATGCTTAAAAAAGTGCTCAGCACAGAGTGAACACTTAATAATTATTAGCTGTCATCATCATTATCGTCATACTTGCCACCCCTGTGGACCAGAACCATGAGTTTGGTTTCCTCTGCATTTTCCTTTGAGCACCTGGCAATGGATGGTGAGTCCATGGTTGGAGATGGCTACAGCCCAAACCCAAGTCAGCTCTGGCACTTACTAGTTATGTGACTTTATCAGCTAGTTATTAAATATTACTGCTTCAGTTTCCCCTCTGTGAAATGCTGCCTTAGGAAGACAGTCAGGTACTTCAAAAATGGGAGTTAAACTGAACAAATAAGGAAATGCCAAATGAGTGAGATCAGTCATTCTAAATGTATGGATCCATTCACTTCTTTATCGAACAGTTTTAGTATCTGCTGCCCCCTACTTAGTGCTTGGAACCCAGTAGTTAGCAAAGAGACATAGTTCCTACTCCTATGGAGCTTATGGTTCAGGAGCCAAGAAGTATTTATCAGAGACCACGTGCGTGTCTGGTAAAGGAGAACAGCCAGTAGAGCCAAAAAGGACAAACGCATGGTCCTACAAGTGCGTGTCGTGAGGCACCCGATCCAGACGTGGGGCGGAAGCCAGCCACGGGGAAGGTTCCCCCAGGAGGCAGTGCTTGGGGTCGAGGGTGGAGGGGAAAGCATATGCAGAGCTCTGAGGTGGAGAAGCAGCGTGTATTCCGTGAGGAAGAACAGAAAGAAGGTCCTTGTGGTTGGGGCACAGAGTGAGGCTGGGAAGTTATCCTGGGCCAGGCTGTGCTAGGCCTTCCATGCTATTCGGGCCAACCAGGCCTAGATTCTCAGCAGTAGCTTGGGAATGAGCGCCTGAGCAGTTGGCTGGGAAAGTGTAGCTATAGTTAAAACTGACATATGCATGTGTATCCTAGCATGTTCAAAGTCCTCACTTGGGTGATGGAATCGACATACTGAAGAGAAGAAACTTTCAATAGAAAATATGCAGTATAGCCTATTTACTAGAGTAGAAGGATCTGTTGTGAGGAATATTATCACCAGTGTTCATAATACCAACATTTGCAATGATGTACACTTTTGTATTAATTAGAGCAGATTCATTTGCATCCAGATGCTTTTATCCAAATGAGAAGAATGGGTGACAGTCTACTCAGTGAGCTGGGGATCGGGTATACCCTGCAGTCTGTAGGAATAAGGAGTTGCTGGTTTACTGGAGATTTACTTCTCCATCATTTGTTTTGGAGGATTGTCAAAATCCCAGTGTGCTCATGGGAATGTTACTCCTTCAAACATTACTTATTAAGAAGTGCAGCCTTGGAACCCTGGGGTTGGCTTCAAATATTGGTCAACATTTAAGGTCAAGTTCTGTTGTGGTGAGGATACATGCTGTGAAGCTGATGTGGGTCCGACAAAACACTAAAGTGAGCAGGCTGGGAGGAATGGGGGCAACTTGCTCTGGGCCAGGAGCTTAGTAGGGCACCAGCCTCGTACCAGGAGGTTGGTATATGCTAAGAGTTATGTAAGACTTGCTTCTCAAGTGTCACGGGCATTTGCTCCATACTCTGGCTATTCTGTACCTTTAGAGCCCCCTCTGGCTTTTGGAGCATTTCTGGCCTTCTGAAATCGACCTCCTGAAAGTACAAGTCAGAAGTCACTTTCTGGGTCTCCCTTACATCTAGGGTCAGAATGTATTCCCAGGCCCTGCCACTCCGATGCAGCAGAGAGGCAACTTTGATTCACAAGAGAGAACAAGACCCCACCAAAGTGTTTCTGGTGAGGGTGGTAGAGAGATGTGCAGCTTCTAGATGCTGCTAGACTGGGTTCCCACCCACCGCCGACAGTGGCATCCACAGAGCCGTCTGCTGGACCAGTCGTCTCCTTGTCTGGCATGATTCGCTGGCCACCCAGATGCTCTGTGACCTAATGTCCTTGAAGAAATTCCTTTTCTGCTTAAATTGGCTAGAGTGGATTCTGTTGATTGCAACTAAAAACTCTGTCATACTATGCAGATGAGCGAGGTCAAGGCAGCAAGTAGCCCTGTTCTCACAGCAACTCAGTGCTGAGGAGGGACCTTAGAAATCACAAGGTCATTGGATAAAGTTTCATTCTTTTGGTTGTGGTACCAATTCAGGTGTTTCGCTAAAATGTGAGGTCAAGAAACTTGAAAAGCCTCAGGTTATATAAAATTGCACACACAAAAGAACAACAAGATTTATGGAAAAATGGAGTTGGCTAGATCACTTGAAACCTATGTAACACTGTCCAGGGCACTAAGAAAAACAATAACAGTCCTAATAAAATATATCAGCACAACTGGGAAGTCACCCTGAATTCCTAGGAAATAAATATTCTGGTCCTTAAGGATCTAGTAAATATGGTAAATATGCTACCTTTCTGGTAGAAGGGGCTATAAGATGCTACCTTTCTGGTAGAAGGGGCCCTGACCCCTGAGTTCTGGAAACAAGGGCAGAGGGAGGTGGGGGGAAGGCACTTGTAGGATTTATACAACTTGAGCCATGACTGAGCTGGGTGTTTTGTGTTGTGTTGTTCTTTTACACAGGGTCTTAGAGAACTGTGTCCTCAGTGCTTCTAAGAGCATGTGGCCCAACTAGGCGAATGGGAGAAAGGGGCAGGATGAGCGGGTATCTGGTGCAGCAATGTAGTCTGCTCTGTTAGTGAATTTTGTGTTTGGATGCTTTTACTTGGGGGCTAAGAAAAAATGCATATAAACTGACATAATTTCTGTTTTATATGGACATTGTTCTCCTATTTACCAATTCCATCGGAACTATGATAAAGAAGCGTGTGTTAGTATAGACCAGACTGTATTTGGATTTAAAGTGTTCTGTAAACCTGAAAAGGTGGAGGACCCTTGGCTTGTTGGTACAGGGACTGTGGTAAAGTGATCGCCCAGCATTGATTAAGAGGAGGAGCCCCAGTGGAAGAGTGGCTACAGAGAGGATCGCAGTTAGCATCGCAGTTAGCAGCACAGGCTGTGGACTAGACCACCTGGGTTTGAATTCCTACTCTCTTTCATATGAGTCTGAGCCTTGATTTTGTCATTTGGAGAGTGGAGATAATAATGATGCTGGCTGAAATTAATGCATGTAAAATGCATGGAAACTACTTAGCTCCCCAAGGGAGGACTTTTGTTGTTGTTGACTTCTCATCCATTTGTCTACAGCCATCTGCTTCAAGGATAAGGAGGGAGAGCTCATAGGTAGTACCTCTCATGGGGTCTAACAGGTGCGCAGGTCATATTTGTTGAATTTGAATCCGATGAGAAATATCCACACAGACCACAACCAACACTCTTTCCGTTCCTCCTCCTAAGTTGGTGTGGAAACTGCTTTGCCGCAGACGTGAGATCATCTTTATTTGAGAGAAGAGATTCAGAAACGCATTCTGGCGTGGCAGGCTGTGAATCCCAGTGCTCTGGAGTAAGGTGAAATCCCAAGGGAAGGTCAGACCTTTGAAACGGATCCTGAGGAGAAAGGAAGAACAGTTTGCTGCCTGGTTTCACTTGTGACCAGGCCATTTAAAATAAAAACACTTTAGAATCTGAAAGCCCACAGCATCTGTTTCTAATTGAAAGGTTATTTGCAGACAATATATTTTTCATAGAGTGACATTTGTAAGTGTTCATTAATACATTGAGTCTATTGCAGTGAAATCCATTTTGTAAATGGAAAGAGATAATTATTGTTGAACCTTTTAATCACTTTTAAGCAAAATAATGCACTAGAAAGCATTTAGCTGAGGATGTGCATCTGATTACCTAAGCAAATTATTCAGCTGGGGTGAGATGCAAATCTATATTGTCTCCTTCTGCTCTACTGGAGGGTGGTTCCTCACTTCCTCTCTAGGTTCTGTGACATATTTACTCTCATCTGGTACTTCAGACACCCATGATTCTAATCCTGGCCTTTTCATTTATTCCAGGGCCTTGAGAAATTCACCAGAAGTTTCTGGGCATCAGTCACTCATCTGTAAAACACCTTATGATTTGAAAGGTCTCTTCTAGCTCTGATCCTATATAATGGCAGAATTCTGTGACTTGATGAAAGTGGACAGATTCCTGTAAACAGTTGAGCAATCCAAGAATTCTGGTCTTCTTGAGACCCCGTATCCGAGTTTAAAATACTAGACATTCTGTTTCATTCAGCATCATGCACAGAGCTCCTACTATACACAGAATATATTAGAGCCAATGAGGGGACAGAAGAGTAAGCGACTGCTTAATTTTTCTGTGGTCTAGTTGGAGAAGGAAAGCAAACACTTCTGACATAATGAGAAAGATCAAGCCAGTCTGAAATGCCAGAGTTCAAGCGTTCTCTAATTGTGGAGTCTGGAAGGAAGGAAGAGTCCTACCAGAGAATCTGGAGAATGGGACACAGTCCCAAAGATAATATTTATAATTACATAATGGGACTTGGAGTTGTACTCTATTTGGTGAGCCAAATCTGGACTATTTATCTTCTTTCCATCCTGTTTTTTTTGTTTTGTTTTGTTTTGTTTTGTTTTGGGGATATAGTTGTGTGGGTCTTTCTCCCTCACTCAGTTTATGAGTGCCTTGGACACTTTTCTCCAAACTTTGTGTTTGAAAATTCCCATGACATCTAGGATAGCACTTTGTTTAAGGTAAATATCTTGAATGTCATAACCCCCACCCCACCCCACCCCGATTCTCACTTTTTGCCCCTACCCGGTGTTCATTGGCACCTGAACTGGAGCATGACCAGGAGAGGTGGTCGGGTGAGATGGAGGTAAATGACACAGAGAAGCTTGGCTCTCTGGCAGGTAGCTTTGCTGTTTGCTTCAGAAGATAGCATCTGTGGTTGTGGTCAAGCCCGGGGAAGCAAGGGTGGTTGACACAGCTTTCTCACTGGAGGCAGCTCTTTGGCTTATGTCTGGAGATAGTCTCTGCAATGTTTAAATATGTTTGCAGTTGCCTCTGAGATCTGCGACTGATAGACAGCCTAAAGCTTTCACCTGCGAGGGGCTTCGCAGTCCTGTAGCCGAGCATCGGGCTGGGCAGGCAGGCGAACAGCAGCTTGCCCACCGTGTGTTTCAAGTGTCCCCACAGGTGTGTTCTTGAGAGCAGCAGAATCCGGCTGTGCCATTGCTGCCATCGGCTGGGGTCTTTAAAGGGGTCATGTCGTCCTGCCAGTGCAGCTGTTGGGTCAAACGAAGTTTAGGGATTTTCTCTGGTTTTGATGTCCCTGGGTTTCTCTAATGAGAATATTAAGAGGCTGGTAATTTCATTTCATTAAAATTTGTTCAACTTCTGAGAAATCAACCCTGACTCTAAGAGCTAAAACCGGGCCTAGCATAAATGAGTCTGTGTTGGCACCTGGCTGCTCGGTGTGGTGTCACAATGAAGAACGCTCACCGGTTGCTAACGTCACTGTGGGAGGTGGGGATGGGGGAACCATTGCTGCCTGTCAACCCCAGAGAGCCAGTGGGAGAACTGGGAGTGTCAGGCTGTGGCACGAAGTGGAAGAACATCTCACACCGGCTGACTGCCTCAGGACTCAGCTAAATATGCCGCAGTTTGCTGAATGCCCTCCTAGCTGCTCTTCTCAGTACTGCTGAGCAGGCATCTGTGGGCTCAGCCTGGCATCCAACTCCTTCCTGGCTCTCTGATGGCTTATGTCGAGCCCCATGGGTTTTCTTTTTGGACTTCATACTGTGTCACTGCTCTGGTGCCCTGGAGGATTTGTGCACTCCTGTCATATTTAGCTCGGTTACCTGAGGACACGGAGTGATCATTATTCACCCCACATGGAGTAGAGATACATACACTTTTTAATAGAGTCTTGCTGTATTTTACTTACTTAGTTACTTGCATGCTCTTTTTATAAAGCAGTCCTCCACCCCATAAATTTCCTACTTCTTGTGCACACAAGCAATGATAGAATTCCTAGAGAAAGCCCAGATATATAGGATTTAGATTTACTGATCACATCAATGCCAACATATGCACAGAGTTGTACCTCCTGTGTCTGACTTTGTGGCTATCGCCAAGGACTCTGTAATCCCTCTTTGCTTTCCATGGATATACTAATAGTAGAATGCACCGTTGGATGTTACCCTTTGGTAGAGGTTTGGCTCTGCATCCACATTTTCTTAACTAGTCTTCCTAAAGAGCCGCCTGCTTTTTGTAAGGTTGCCTAGTTGCATTGGTGTGCCAGGGAGGGGCACAGCGACCTCTCTGGGACAGAACGAGTGGACACGTGGAATCCTAGCCCTTGGGAGGGCTGCTGCTGTGCATAGAGCTCTGGGTTAGAGGACCTGGCCTCAGATGCCAGCACCTCTGCTACCTGGCCACATGAAGGTGCCTATGTCAGTCTCCATTCCACCATCTGCCAAGGGAAGACAGTGCCTAAATCACAGAATAAATCTATGTGGGAGAACTGAGTACCTTGCAAAGTCATGTATGGCTGGTTACGGGCCTGTTGCTTTGACCCTCTGTGCTCTAATTCTATGGGGGCGGGGGACTGAGAAACAGGGTGATCTCTTCTTGCTGATTTCTTAGGTAGAAGAAAAAAATGGGCCCTGTTTTCAAGGATGTAGAAGAAATGTAATAGATATAAAAAATAATCTGTCTTTTGTAGTTGATGATTCTCTGGACCTTGGCTGGAATCCCTGTGGTTGGGGGAGGGAGGGCAGTAGGGGGGGGGGGGGGCAGTCAGCTTGGTGTACAGATATCTCTGTCCCCACTTCAGGCATCAAACATGGACTGGCCTTTTATAACAGAAACTTCTTTGAGGGGCTCACTTGCTGTTTGTGTGTGTGTATGTTTGTGCGTCTCTTTATGCTATATCTGCGTAAAATAGACGGCAAAGATTTTGGTTAAACATTCTTTTGCAGTGGGGGAGAATCCTTGTGGATAGCATACCCCTGGGTGAATTTCCAGGAGCCAAAAAGCAAAGTAAACAACATTCCAGGCCAAACCAAAATAACAACAGAAAACATGCAAATATGCTAAAAGCATTGCAACCAATAGGACTCCCTCAGTTGTGAATTACAGGGCCTGGAAGAGCACCTGAGTGTGCTCAGGGGTGATCCTAGCAATTACTCAGCCAGCAGCCAGCAGCCTAACTCAGACAGAGCTGCTCCAGAGGGGCTTGGAGCATATGCACGTCAGGTCTAGCCACTGCTTGTCGCTAGCCCTAGCCATCAGAGTGCTGACCACTAACTGGGTTGGCTGTCTTCAAGTGGTGAAATGTTTTCTTTAAGAGATGTTTTCTTGGGCGCCTGGGTGGCTCAGTCGTTAAGCGTCTGCCTTCGGCTCAGGTCATGATCCCAGGGTCCTGGGATCAAGCCCTGCAGCGGGCTCCCTGCTCAGCGGGAAGCCTGCTTCTCCCTCTCCCACTCCCCCTGCTTGTGTTCCCTCCCTCGCTGTCTCTCTCTCTCTTTCTCTCTGTTGAAAAATAAATAAAATCTTTAAAAAAAAAAAAAAGAAATGTTTTCTTCTTTTTAGTTGGGGAAAATACTTACTGCTGTGTGCATTGCATAATATATAGAATTTTTGAATCACTATGTTACACACTTGAAACTAATGTAACAGTGTATATCAACAACCCTTCAATTTAAAAAAAATACTTTTTGGGGCACCTGGGTGGCTCAGATGGTTGAGCGTCTGCCTTCGGCTCGCCATTGTGATCCCAGGGTCCTGGGATCAAGTCTTGCATCCGGCTCTCTGCTTCTCCCTCTCCCCCTGTTTGTGCGCTCTCTCTCTCTGTTAAATAAATAAAAATAAATAAAATCTAAAAAAAAATACTTTTTGAACAACTGACATAGTCAAACCGTGGGAAGGGTTTTGGTAATACAAAGACAATAAATGTTGATTAACAAGGATACAGTATGTGTGGAATTACCTTAATGTGATGTGGCAAGTGATACGTGGAAGTTAAAAGCCAGAAGTAAAATTTGTTTTGGGAGCCCAGATAGGAGAGATTATTTCAACCTGGGAAGTCCAGGAAAATTTCATCAAAGAAGTATGGTTTGAAAAATAACTAGCTATTGCTTAAATAATATAATTCCTTTTTCCCCTACTAAATAAATATGTATTTCCTACCAAAAACAAAAACTTTCAGAGCTTTAGTGAGCTAATCACTGAAGCCACTGCTATGAACTATACAAATAACCATGTGAATGCTCTGAGATATTTATGTAAATTTAGCCCATTCCAGCACACAGACCCCCATCATCCCTCCACCCATCCAACCCAAAGCCTCTAGTTTCTCTTGTTTCCTGGTGGTTCACAGTCACTGCTGGTATCATGAGGATGAGTTTCAGAACCTCTTTCTGATGCCCCTTCAACACTGTTTGTCTGATCAGACAGAAAGCATCCCACTGGGGAAAACAGCTGTCTGCGGTTTTCATGCATGGCCACCTCATCATGCTGGGTTCAGGACCACATTACTGCTCGTGGACTGGGAGCTTTTCAGCATCTGCCTGTTAGTGGTTAGATCTCGCCTGCACGGTGTCATGTGCATCCAAGAGGGCAAAAGCTGTCCTTTCTCATTTGAAGATTTGTGTATTCTAATCAACAGAAAGTTAATGTCACTGTGCCATTCAGATAATGGGTATGGTGCTAATGCAGGTAATGAGGAGAGTAGCAAAGACGCCTGTCAAGTCATTCACCCCGTGGGCTGCTGTTCGAGTTGGACCTTTGCTGTAATGCCGGATTTCTCAGCCTCGGTACTATGGGCATTTTGGACAAGACACTTGTTTGTCGTGGAAGGCCGCCCTGTGTCCTGTATATGTTTACAGCATCTCCAGCTCCTGCTCACTAAATGCCAGTAGTACCCTCAATTGTGACAACCAAAAATGTCTCCAGACAGTGGAAACTGGGCTGGGCTGGGGAAGGGGTAAGAATTGCTCTCGGTTGAGCAGCACAGGTCTAAAATAAAACACCATGCCTGGTTTTGAACTGTACATAAAAGAAGATGTGAAGAAGGTGGCCATAGGGCTTCCAGTTTTAAATGAGGTCTTTCTGTGGCCTCTGATACAGCCTCACGCAGATGCCCACAGTAACGTCTAGAAAACACTGAAAAAGAGGAACATGGTAAACCCTGGAAAACAGGACTAGAAGTCAGTCTGTTGTCAGAGTCTGTGAGACGTCTCCTTCACCATGGCACATGGAACTGGTCTGAGAGAGGAAATAGTGCATCCTGTCTGCTTTGCCGGCTCAGAAACCCGTGGTCTGTGCCCACCAGGAAAGCAGACTGTCCTCCTCCTCCAGCACATGGTTGTATTTTGTCCCGGTGCAACTACCGCGCTCTTCCTCCATTTGTAAGCACCAACATGGAGCCCCCTATGATAACTAAGTAAGTTGGCAGGAAGTGGGGGGACACAGGGGCTGACTGTCAGTGGTGCCCGTCCGTCCTGCATCCTCCATGAGGTGCTGCTGGAGGTGGAAATGCCCAAAGAAGGGGCCCTGCCAACACTTGGGCAATTGTCACTTCATTGCGTCATGTCAGTTTCTTGATCAGCTGGGCCGGGAAATGGGTGGAAGAAATGCTCCCCTGCCCCGCCTCCAGGAAAGATGAACCATGTCACAGAAGACCTGTCACGACTTTGGAATTGGACTGCGTGCTTGCACCTCATTTTGTCACCACGTGTATTGCCTGCGAATGAGATTTGGCTGTTGCTGAAGACGTCAGAGAACATGGTGAAAGGCAACAAACATTTTATCTTTTTCAACTGAAGAATAATTTGGAGAAAAACTACAATCATTTGAAATCCTCCTTCATTATTAATTTCATAGATACTTTTTGGTTCTGGGTGTTTTGTTTGTAAAAAAGATGCATTTTAGATGCTCTAAAAATTTTTTAGTGATTTTCTTCATAATTAGAAGTAGTGATTAGAGTATCTTTTATTTTTTATTTTTTTTAAAAAGATTTTATCTGACAGAGAGAGAGCACAAGTAGGGAGAGCGGGAGGCAGAGGGAGAAGCAGGCTCTCCCCACTGAGCAGGGAGCCTGACATGGGACTTGATCCCAGGACTCTGAGATCATGACCTGAGCCGAAGGCAGACGCTTAACCATCTGAGCTACCCAGGCGCCCTAGAGTATCTTTTATATTACGTGACATTTTTCCTTTAAATGGTTGTGTACATTTTATATTCTTTGCTTTTCTCCATATAGGCTTTAATCAGAATGGATTCATTGTGTACCATAATTTACTGTTATAGGGCATCATGAATATGAATTATTTCCATCACTGAAATATAATGCCCAGTGTAATATACAAAAGAAAGCTAAGAGCAATAAGCTCTTTGATAAATATCAAGTTGTTGACAGTTGCTAAGTCTGAATGCATTTTTCTTCAGCTAGGGATTT